CACATTTGAACTAAAAGTTCTAACTCGAAAAGTTGAGAGTGGGAGTGGAACTCCCAATGCAGTGCTCAAGGAATGAGCACGAAGTGAGCAATAAGTGAGTCTCTAAAAAAAAAGGACACAAGAGGACTAACATATGACACGTGGAAGTGTCCGAGATAGACCCAAGATGGAGTCCGAGATGGAGTCCGAAATGGAGTCTAAGATAGACTTGAGATGGAGTCCGAGATGGACCTAAGATGGAGTCCGAGATGGATCTGAAATGGAGTCTGAGATGGACCTAAGATGGAGTCTAAAATGGACCTGAGATGGAGTCTGAGATGGACTTGAGATGGAGCTTGAGATGGACTTGAGATGGAGTTCGAGATGAATCCAAGATGGACCCAAGATGGAGTCTGAGATGGAACAGAGACCGAGACCAAGATTGAGACCAAGACCAAGACCGAGACCGAGACCAAGAACGAGTCCGAGACCGAGACTGAGTTCGAGTTCGAATCCGAGTCTAAGTCCGAATCCAAGTCCGAGTCCAAGTACTAATCCGAGTGTGAGTCTGAGTGTGAATACTAATACAAGATGTTAGGTGAAAGCCCAAAGCAATCGTCCCCCAAGAGGGGGGAGCAAGGGGGTGGGGCAAGTTTGAATACTAATACAAGCTGTTAGGTGAAAGCCCAAAGCAATCATCCCCTAGGAGGGGGGAGCAAGGGGGTGGGGAGAGTGTGGGGGCTTGACCCTAGTGGAGCCAATTTAGCCAGAAAAGGCCAGTGTGACCCAGGAAAGCTATGCTCACATATTGGGTGATGATATATCCACTAAAGAGTCCAACGCTAGAGTGAATACAAATTGACAAGCGGGGTAGTTTTGTGAAGTGTTCAAGAGCTAACTCTAGTTCCTCTAGGAAATCAAATGGTCAATGCTCCTAGTCCAAGTGTGGGTGGCACTACTTACTTGGATATTTGGCGTGGCTTAATGGAATCTTGCTCTAGCCCTATGGCTAGAGCACCTAAAGGCGGAAGATAAGGAGAGTACCCATGAGGCTCATGTAGAGCCACAGTGTTCCGAAATATTATCCCAAAGTCCTAAATTGTGAAAAGGAATAAGAGCCGTCCTTTAGTGTAATGACCAAGGATACAATCATATAGTGAGGAAGTCCAAAGGATAGTGGGACTTAGTGGTCCGGCCTGTGGGCCTCGATATAGTGGCAGTGTTGGCAAATATGGCCATAGACAAAAAGGGACTTGGTGGGGACCGGAAAAAGGATATTGGGGAAGGTTGTTCCCCATGTTTATGGGCATTTTAAGGATGTTATAGAGTGGATCTAAGATGATCAATCATGGATGGATAGCTTAATCTTTGAGAGATGGGACTGTGATGTAGGTGGTGTTAGATCACCATGTGACAAAGGTGAATATGCATAACCTTAGTGTAATGGATTGATATGTCAGTAGTACTTTTGGGTGTTGGTCATGGGATCAGACACATAGAGCACTTAGACCAAATGCAAAGGTTGAGTGGTATAGAGTTAGCAAGCCCTAAGTCCAGAATAGGATTTATGGAGGTTGTGGGTGAAACTCCTCCAAGTGGTTGGAAGTATGGTTAAATGACTAAAGTAGAATGGAAAATTTAATTTTTTACAATCATATTATAGTTGAGAAGAAATGAAAAGAGAGGAGTGCACTTGAGTAAGTACTTGAAGATTATATCAAATAAAAAAATTGTTTTTAAAACTTAAAATATTGCTTAAACTTTCAAAATGAAAGTGTAATCTCCTAAATTTAGACTTTCTGGGAGGTTTAAATACTCAAAAACACTTAACCCTAAATATCTTAAGACCCTAACCAATTCAAAAAAAAAAGGGCCCTTTTGTTCATGGATCATTTTCCTTTATGTTTAAACATTATAGATCATCTCTTAAATCATTCACTTTGGTTGCTTATAAAAAAGTAGATCAAAAGTAAAGCTTTCAAAAGAAAAAAAAAAGGTCCTTCAAAATTGAGGCATAGAACTTTAAATCACTTATTCCAAACTTCTTAGATAGTAGCTTAGATATAATGTGATGCTTGACGTGATGAAAACTAAAAATGCATAACTAGAATTAATATTTAAAACTGTCGAAAGGTGAGAGGCATAATTTTATTACTACATTTTAGATGGATAGGAGACATGGTGTCGTTAGATATGTTAATAATGGAGATGTATATCATTCTTCAAATGGAGCTCCAATAAAAAGAAGAGAGTTGTTCAAGTGTTTTAAGCTGTTACCAAGACTTAGTTGTGAAATGAACAATCAGTTTAGAATATTGTAATATTTAAATGTTCTTTATGGATCTAGTTATAAACTGTTAACATATCATACCACTAGGAGCCACTCTACATCCTTCCACTTGTGAAACCTCTTTGTTTCTCCATGTGGCATCTATAGCCTTAATGTAAGTTTGTCATTGCTTTTGACTTTGATCTTTAGTCCTGGAAATTTAAAAAACCATTGAAAAGTAATATGAGATTTTTTAATTTCATTTTATTAATAATTTATAACATATTAAATTTCTGTCCAAATTAGTATCTTATAATTTTAATAAGAAAATGTTAGAAAGTAAAGATTTACATTAAATAAGAAAACCAGCATTCCTATGAGCATAGCATAGTAAATTATTCACTTTATATTAAAATTACTTATGTTTTATATCCAATATTAATTTTAAGTTCTTATCAGCCCTCATGAGTTTGAACACCAAAATTGGTAAAACATAATTTAGATGTTAAGTAAAGGAAGTAAAAATATACACTTGACATAACAAGGAAGATTATATGATAAGATTAAAACATGATTTTTAAATAGCAGATAGAGTTTAAATTCTAAAACATATATATCTAGATTTGAAAATACTATTACACCTTATTTTTCTCCCATTAAGTCATATGCAAGAAATTCAAATGATATTTCTCCTTTAATCATGATAGCATTTACTGTTATTATTCCAAAATTTTCTAAGGATCCACAATAACAATACTTTATAAATAATACTTTTAAATACATGAGGTAAAATGAAACTATAGCCAAGCTATCAATTGTTTCTTTTGTAAATTTGTATATATATATATATATTGTTGTAATAAACATGAAATCAAGTGTTATTTTGGTTTAAATATTTCTTCATGCTTATGACATGGTTGTAGTATTTGCATCCTATTTTTAATAAATTATGGAAATATAAAGTAGATATGTTTCTAGACACTAAACCAAAATAAAATATAATATGTGAAATTTATTACAACAAAGTATTAAAGATTACATTAAATTTAATATTTTATTTCTTTTCCAAAGTTTAAAGTTTAAATATCTTTAATAAAATTAAAAAATGATTAAACTATATAGACATATAATATTAACAAATTAAAAGTAATAGTAATTTAATAACTTTATATAAGCTTAACTATCTTTTTATATATTAAGAATTTTATATATGAAAATTTTAATTTTATTTCTATTTTCTTTTTGTATTAGTATTGATTCAGTAATTGAACATGGGGGGGAAAATACAATAACTCAAGAGAGTGTTGATTTAATTTTATATGCAATGGAATTAATGATTAATAATATATCTGGAGAAGAATTACCTAAAGGACAAAGTATGCAATTTCCATTTACAATACAAGATGATAGAGTTGGCCCATTGAATGTTATTAATCAGATGTGGGTATATAGTAAATCTGGGAAACACTATGATCAATGTAGTGCAAATAATGAAGATATTGAATATGATCATGGAAATAATGTTAGATTTCATTTAAGTAATCTATTAGATATATATCGTGCTGCAATAAGAAATTTTCGAGCAACATTTATTACTGTTATAAATGATTATTTTGCAATTGAGTATATTATAACAAACTTTCATCAACCTAAGCCCTTTGATAAATTTACAATTAATAATTTAAATGATTGTAGAATTCATTTCACAACATTATTTAGTACTTTACCTTCATATTACTTGAGAGGTTCACAATTTATAATGTCTCCAAATAAAAAAGCTTTATTATATTTACATCTAAATTGTATTTTAGCTTTATATGTAAAGAACAAATTAAAATGGTTTGTAGGATCAAATCAATATAAAAATTGTGAATTTAAAATGCAGATAGATGGAAATATAGTCTTATATTCTTTTGGTCATAATGCTGTTTGGTCTCCAAATATTTTTTGTGGTAAATCGATTTGTTTTTTATCTTTACAAAATGATTGTAATTTAGTTTTATATGAATCTAATCAAATGGTATTTTCTCGAAATCCTTTTATTAAGGCAAGATGGTCATCAAATACATATCCTTGTTAAAACTATATATAAATGTTGTGATTACTTTAATTTCTTAATGCAAATTAATAAATTTAAAATTAAGATTAGTCTTGTAATAAATTGATATCAGAACCCAGTTCGATTCTCGTGGTGACAAGTGGGGCAGGAATATTCTGAAAGAATATTCAACATGGTGAATCTAAAGGGAGAACCAAGGTTTGGTAAGGTTTGGTAATTAAGATTAGTCTTGTCATAAATTGATCACAGACATTGGATAAAACATAAACCAAAGCATACAGTTCACCCATGGCAAGATCAGATTCTATCACAGAACATTGCTTTCTAGTCTCTTCAGAGCTTGCTCTTATTTGCTTTCATTTTTGTTTGTCGAGTCACGAGCCTTAATCGTTGACCGACAGATTTTTTCTTTAGCCTAGCTTCTTATAGTTCATTTACACCGCATTTGATTTATCCATCAAAAACTGATCGCAAGAAGCCAAAAGGAAGAACTCTCCACACAAAGAGAGGAAAGAGCTCACCTGCGACACTCACTCCATTCTGCGCGACCCCGGACTCTGCGCTGAAACGAACGATACCAACTTAGATATAAGAAAACCAAGGAAAAAGAAAAGTGGAGTTCACCTGAATCCATTCGGAACTGGATCAGATCAAAACCACTCTTCGATCACCTGACAGGAGGACATCTGCAGCTCAAAAACTCAATGACATAAATTGCCATTCATGTGTTCCACCAGAGTTACACCATTCTACAAGAATGAACCTCCACCAAAGATATAAATTATGCAGCTACCTCTTCTTCGCCAACGAGGACTTCACCACCATTATCAACTACGGCCTCGGCCTCCACAAAGTCGTCCCCGACCTCGTTCTCTTCCACATACTCTTCCTCCTCCTCCTGCCAAGCTTCATGAGTAAAACACCCAAATACAAGACGTCTCATACCTGGTGCCCGTCTCCAACCAAAACACCTTCGCTTCCACTCGACGCTTTCAAGTCATCTATGATATCGACTTTCCTCTTCTCCAGGTACTCCAGGTAGCTCTTCGCAGGTGGCAACTCCGCCCTGTGTATGCACAAGTAGAACTTTACGGAGGTTCCAAAACTCTTGGCAAAGCTCACCTTTCCTGCGCGCATTTGGCTTCCGCGGCCAATGCCCACTCCCAGTCTGGAAACAAGTTGGGGTACTCGGTCGGGTCGGCCAGAGACTCTGCTGCTTTTGCATTGACCTGCAACGAACAAGACGGGATGAAACGAAGGATGCCAACTTTGGTAGCGATACCTTTTTCAAATCATTCCGCCAAAGTCCTACGATCTCGGTTACTTTACTGGGCAAGTATGTTCTTGCCATGAATGCCGCTTCGGGTATGCGGTTGCTGCGAGCATAGTCATGAAGTTGGAAATGAATGGAAGATTGCATACCTGTCAATTAGGAGTTGAACGCAGTCCTCCAGTCGCCCAAGGAGAAACAAGCAGACGAAAGCAACGTTGTTCTTCCCTTGATCCTTGGCCAAGCTTGACAAGCTCTCCAAACCTTCCTTATCTCCCAGAGAGGAATAAAGGAGGAGCAAGCCACTGAAGTCGGTCGCATGCTTTAAGCATTCTTCCGCTACATCGAGCTGCCAAAAGACGTTTTTCAGATCATGTAGTATCAAACCTCTCCCACCTTCCCGGAAGACATAGCTAGCTCGCCAAGTTGCTTCCACTTTGAGTCGCTTTGAGCTTCCTCAGCGATTGCCTGAGATAAACCACCTCAATATTCGACAAAAGAAAATAACAGAGCTTAACATGCCTTTGCAACTTCGAGTTTGCCCAGTTGCACAGCAAGGTCAAATCGATAATCCGGATCAGTTGCCGCTTCAAGGGCGTCCTCCAGCATACCACGTGACTCCAAGAAATGGGCAACACTGAATAGGAGTATTGAGAGTGTTATACACCAGCCCAAGTTTACCTGTTTAAGTGCTCCCTCGGAATGGTTGGCAAGACTTCCTGCGCTCGCTCAATATCTCCACGTAGAACGAGTGTTTTGTACTCGATCAGGCCAAGTAACAGCGTGTAGCTGACAATACTGTAATTTCACAGGAGGATTAGCCATCGTTCATGATCGTCGAAAACACTTACTTGAACTCCTTGTCGATCAGATACACTCGGCTTTGATTTGCCAGATAGCCAAGCAAATACATTGGCTTGTCCAGGTGATACATAGTAGTTACCTGGAAGAGGAAGTGTGAAACAAATATAAACGACAATACAAAAGCAGACCTCTCCTCCAACGCAGTAGTTCAGTCTCCATGACGAGTTGTTGTAAATGAAACAATCGCCTACCCATAAGCCAGTTCTCACGCGCTCGGATATCTCATGCAAAAGTTCAAATGCGTCCTCGACTCCTTGCTCGTCAATCTGCTTCCCGCTGTCAAGGTACTCGGAAACAATATCATGCTGCATCCAAACAACAGTAAGCATAAATTGATAGAGATTTTCGAAACTAACGTTGTATTTCAAGATGTAGAAGGATTTTTCGCTTGTAATGGCAACCAGGTCCCCGCTGTCAGCCCAAAAGATGTTCTGCAAAATTCGGAAACATTGTGGGGCATTACAAAAGAGAGAAAGAATAAATAAAACAAAGAAAAAAATAAACACCTTCACTGTAACGTCAATTCTACGAATCATTCGGCATTCGGCCCAGTCGTAGAAGCAAACGAAGTCATTCGAGCGAACTCCTAAAAGACATCCACCGTAAATTCCTTCAGCTGAAAAGGCTGGTCGCATGCTCTTTTTCTCCTGTTAAACAAAACTGATATATCATACACGTCAAATTGTTATTCGACCCACCTGAAACGCTTTATTGAAGACCTTGATCTTGGAAGTGCTCTCCCTCACAGCAGAGTCCCCTTCTTGTGACCAAACGAACTCAAGAGCAGATCCAAATGACTTGTTTCTCCAGGCAACAGGGGTGTAAATTGTATATTCGCCATCACCACAAACCACCACAAATCTTCCATTTGGGTTATGTTTCAGGCTCTGCACACATTATATCAGAAAATGTCCTATACACAGAAAGCAAAACGAAAGAACTACTTACTTGTGGGTAAAGATCACAGCTACCAAGCTCTTTGACCGCTAAAGGCAAACGTTCTCCATCAACCACCTCAAAATCTGTCGGCACGGCTCTTATATTTACAGTTTGAATCTCGTTATGCTTAGCCCAGATTATCTTCCCGCTGCTGTCCATACTGGCTACAGGTTCCTCCTTTCCAATTTTGATCATTATGGTTCCTTCATCGTACGCAATAGCCACCCTGGAAGTTTTGAATTGGTTATGCGCATGAACAAAAACACCACAGATCTTTACCTGTTTGATCCCTTTAAGTAGCCAATCATCCAGACACGTTCAAGCCCATAGTTCAATGTGTTTTCAAGTCTGTAAAATGGAAACGTTGAGGTAAGTGTGTTACGCTTAACGCGTCAGCCACCTGTAAGTTGTAGTATGCCAGATCCGCACCGTGCCGTCCTCTGATCCCGTGATGATAATTGGTAGCTCGGGGTGAAAGCACACGGCGGAAACATTATGCGTATGTCCCTCAAGCGTCTGAACGCAAGCCTTAGTCTGGTAGTCCCAAACTTTAGCTGTCTGATCATCCGATCCCGTGATAAGATACGGCCTGTCACCGCCGGTGAAATACTCCACACAGTTTACGCCCTTAACGTGAGCATCCAGTGTGAAGTTTGGCTCCGGAGATCCGAGGTTCCATATCTACAAGCACAAGAAGAAAAGTCAAACAATCACCTCTAAACGACGAACGCACCTTGATGGTCCGATCCAAAGAGGCACTGGCGAAGGTGTTAGTATCCTTTGGGTTGAGAGCGACTTGCATCACGTAGTGGGAGTGGCCTTCGAAGATCTGGATACACGTCCACCCCTTCTCCCAGTCCCAGAGCTTGATGAGCATGTCATCCGAGGATGACAAAACGCAGGGCAGTGTCGGATGGACGACGACGCACCTGATGTAGTCCGTGTGCGCTTCAAACGACTTGACCTTGTCCATGGTATTGTAGTTGTAGACTCGAATGTACATGTCGTCGGCACCAGCGACTATCCACTGCTTTCGCGATATGAACTTGGCCGAGCGGACTACAAGCAAGAGATCACACAATTTTTTAGAGAGAAACTTAGAAAAATCGAGATGGAGCAACACAGACTTGGAAAAATACTCTCAAGGGACTTAGAGAAATTTACTCCAAAAGTTACCTGGAAGCTCTGTGACTTCGAATGTTTTGACCACGCCCTGCGTTTGATGATTCCAAATGTAGATGCTTCCAGTGTAGAGACTCGCGAGGATCCTGGCGAATGCATAGAAAATCATTCACGCTCTTAGTCGAATGGCTACATACCATGGCTCTGTGGGATGGAGATCTACACATTTCACGCGCTCTGATCGTTGCGCAAGCTTGCGCTGGAGAAAATCGACTCAGCAAAGCTACAAAACATCGCAACGTACCTTGATTCCCAGGGACAGAGGCTGCGCATCGAAGGAAAACAAGGAATTTCGTTAGATCCAGCTGATGGAGGTGGAGATCGAGAGAGATTTACCATTGCCGGCGGTGCTCTCCGCCCTCGCAGATCCAAAGGCGCAAGAACCCTAGCAGAACCACGCGAAAAGGGAATATACCGCTTACTCCTTTAACAGCGTTAAGCGATAGCGCGGCTTTGAGTTTTTAGGGCTGGGCAGTGCCATGGATGCCGATGACGCATTGCTCAAGGAGTTCTTCGCGGAGGTGAGCGAGGTGGAGCGTGACAACGAGGTGAATCGGTAAGAGTAGGCTCCGATGGATCGGCAAAACTGGATTTTGAGTGAATGGGATTGGAATTTCCAGGGTTCTATCGTGTTTTAAGCTCAATCCTTTCGAGCATCTCAATCTTCCCGTGGATGCGACGCTAGAGGAGATTCGGAGGCAGTATAGGAAGGTGAGAGCCAGTCGATCGAGCTGCGAAATTTTAGAGCTGAAAGTTTTGCCCCACATTTTTGACAGCTTTCTCTTTTAGTGCATCCGGATAAGTGTAAGCATCCAAAATCCAAGGAGGCATTCGCTGGTAAGCTGTTGTGGTCTCTCCATTTGTTCCATTGACTTATCGTTTCTTTGATGTGTTCTAGCTTTGGCCAAAGCTCAGCAACTCTTGCTGGATCCTCAAGAGCGAGACTATCTCGTGGCTCAAATAAACATGGCAAGGGGTACGTAGGATCTTCTCTGTGTTCTTCATTTTAACGTTGTGGTCTCAAAAGATGAGCTGAGAAACGAGCGAAAGAAGCATCTAAAGAAGGACAATGCTTCCAAACTCAGGTCGATGGTCGATGAGGTATGCAGCCATCACCAAAAGTTTTGTTTTTACTATTTTCATTCATTTCTTTCCAGAGCAAGTACGAGACAATGTACGAGGACTCGGAAGAGTTCAAGCAAAACTGGAAACTACGGGTACGCACAATCCTGACAGATCAGGAGTGGCGGCGGCGGAAGATGCAAATGCGGGTGAGCTGCAATCTCTACTTTGAGTCGCATTGTTTTGACCATCGGCTGGATTCATCCAGATATCGGAAGAAGAAGGTAGACTGAAAAAAGAGGAAGAGGAAGCTAGGGAGATGTGGAAGCGCAAGCGAGAAGACGAACAACAATGGGAAGAAACGCGAGAGAATAGAGTAAGTACCTCTTTTCGTCGTGTGAATCTGATCGTTTGCTTGCTTTCCAGGTTAGTAACTGGAGAGACTTTATGAAAGGAGGCAAGAAGGTAATCGCCAAAGCCTTGATTCTACCTTTGTTACACTGACTTTTTTGCAGTCGAAGGGACAGCTGAAGCCACCGAAGCTAAAGACCGAGGATCCAAACAAGTCTTACGTCCAACGTCCAGTGAAGAAGTGAAGAACTTGGTTACTTCATGCTCTCGATTGCCCGGGCTTGGAAAGATCTATGTTGTACAGGTATGACCACCATCGTTTCACAGCGATAAAGAAGAAAAGAATGATTTTTGCAGTTCAAATTAAGAGCAATCAAAGTCGCAGCACAACAATTTGCTGCTTCTTCTCGTGTCTATGCCTATTTCTAAAGTACAAATGGGATGGAGAGGATTTTTTTTTTGTTCTCTACTCTAAAATACCAAGCACTCGACTACGTACCACCAGCTTGCACTCTTGACGAGCACCGCAAGCAGCTGCTTCCAACGAGCTTTCGCTGGAATCCATCCTTATCTCCATCGTCTTCCTGGATCATCTCCTCGGCCTCTATCCTGCTTAAGTTCTTGTCGACGGGTCCTCCCGGGACGCAGCAGCATGGTGGTGCTTGAGACGACACCGAAGATGTAATCGACGAGGCCTGTCCCGCCGCCGCTGCTTCCGGGAGCTCGTAGAGCTTGAGCTCTTCTTTGCTCGAACTTTTGCGACTGTCTCGCTCGTCGACGCTGTTGTCCGCTATACTCTTCGCCATCTTTTGCTGCCAGTCGAGGTGAACTGCGAGCACCAAGCTGATGATCTCCTTCCTGTAGAAGGCCACCTGAAACCGTTTGTAAAGAGCTTCCGCGACGTTGGCTCGAGCTGACATCGTGCTTGGTCCGTATAAGCGCACGCTCTTGCCGTTGCCGAGGTAGTGCTTGATCATATTGTCTAGGAAGAAAGTCTTCGTTCTCGTTGGTTGAGCCGAGAAGCCAACCGCCGCTGCTACTCCACCTTGGAGCTGCAAGCTCGATGCGCTGTTGATCCTCTCCGAGAAGATATCGTAGCTTCTCTTTCTCGACGGCAGTACGTGCTGATAATCGCTCCTCCATCTCGTTAAAGTCTGTTCTTCGATCGAGGACCTGGTAGAGTCGCAGGACGAACCCGCCGGAGCCTTAAGATCAAACCGAGGTGCCGAAGAAGAACACACAAGCGTCGCAGTGGTCGTGGTTGTCATCGTCTCGCTCGTCGATTCGCTTCTACTTTCGCTGTTCTTCCCCTGCTCCGGATCGCCAGCGTCGGTGTTTCCAGTCCGACAATTCACTTCGAGCTGCTGCAGCTGCTTTGGAAGCGCCAGGAAAGTTGTGATCAAGCCACCATCGTCGTTTCTCTCGGCAGCCGGTTCGTCCTTCTTCTCCTTTGGCGTGTCAACTTTCTTCTCTTTCGGGGTCTCGCCGTCCTTGTCCTCGTCACCTTGGTCGTCACCTTTCGCGAAAGCATGAGACGTTCCTTTGCTCAGCCACAGTGTCGGCCTGCGTTTGCGCTCGCTGACGACTCCATTAGTGTTGATATCGTCCATTTTGCTGCTGCTGCTCACACCCCTCTTGTTATTTATCTCGCTCTGGCTCTTGGCCATCAACTCGTTGTCCAGCTCCGGAAGTTCCAGCAAGCTCGCATCAGTGGCTACGTGATTCAACACCTCGCTGATCGAGTCGAAGTAATCTTTGCCTTTGATCAAGGAGCGTTTCGAGTAGCGCTTGATGCCTGGGACCATGTAAACCAGCGGCCCTTTCCCGCTTTGTTCCGAGCTCCAGTCCTTGGCAAGCAGCCGAGGCCACACTCCTTCCCAGAACAAGTCCTGTGCTCGGCTCTTGCTCAACCGGCAGCCACCCGAGAGAGCTCTAAACATTTCCGTCCCTGTGTAGTCCGAGAAAGCTTTGCCTGGAGGTAACTCAAACTTCTTGGTGGCCTGGACTGAATCCACACTTCCCATCGTCAAGTCCCGTTTCCCACACCCCAGGCCAACCGAGTCGACGAACAGCTCCAGTCCTGCTATGTCTTTTATCCGAGACACGTACCTCTCGAAAGAAACCTCGCCTTTGTTGAATCCAGCCATAGTCTGGGGAGGAAAAGCTTGGTGTTATAGCATCGAGAGAGAAAAACTCGACAAACAAAGTTACCTCGAATAGTTCCGGTCTTGAGCACTCCTCAACTTCTGGAAGAAGCCGTCGTAGAAGTTCTTCCTGACGCCGCCCAACCAAAATGTGTCGACCATTGACGATTCTCTTGCTGCAGTTGTTCCGTGCTGCCACCCATCTCTTGTAGGCCGGAGTCCCGTAAAAGATGCTGTAATAGTAGTGCTGAAGGTCCGTGAGCATTCTCGTCTCCAGGAATCTCTTCAAAGCGTTGAAGTCCTTCCCGAAGAGATAGAGTCCCAGCAGGAACGCAGCCTCCTCGTTCTCCTCCCACGCATCAAAGCCATCCCCCGGAACTATAACATCTTCCATCTCGCTGAGGCTGCTCTTGGCTCGCATTCTCCGAAACGTAAGCCAGTTCCCTTTCCTCTTCTTCTTCCCTTTCCGTCTCCTTCCATCACCACCCCCGTTTTTATCCTCCGGCAGCTCGCCCTCGTTCTGGTCATCGCAGTCCCGACCGAGATCCTGCTTCTTCTCGTTGTTCATGCGGATGCTGGTTATCGGGATCGCCATCCCTCCAAGAGCAAACGCGAGCTCTTCCTCGTCAGCCGAAAACACCGTGACGTGGTTCCCGTTCTCAGCCGCAAAGAAGTCGTGTGTGCAGCGAGGGAGCTCGTCCACCTGGAAGTCGCTTCCAATCCTCGGAGTGCAATCGTCGTCGTCAGACCCCGAGCCGGAGCCCGAGCCAGACGACTCCGAGTCGTCAAAAGTACAAGGCTCCATCTTTAGTTCATCGTCCATTCATGCACAACTCCTGGAAGAAAAAAAAAACACATCAGTCCATCGTATGCACAACTCCTGGAAGAAAAAAAGGGGCCTCTAGTGAGAGCAAAGCTACACACTCACGAACAAAAGAGTACCACAAAGCTGCAAGAAAAACAAGCCTTGCAAATACCGAGAAAGAAGAACTTGATTAAAAAGAAATAACACTTGCTAATAAAGCACGGTCCTAAAGAAAGAGAGCATGTAGACTACGTTACAAGCCATGAAATCGCCGGCATAAGCACAGCGCAAGCACTGTTATCGAGCCATTCAACGCTGCTATGGACGCACGAAATCACGACCCAGTAGCCCAGCAAAGAGAGATAAGGCATGCACGCTCGTGACCTAACAAAGAAAACGCGAGAACCTCTCGCGCAAAGCGCTGGAGAGAATGGGGGCAGCAGCGCAGCATCGATTCATCCAAGGACACAAAGAGGAGAAGAAGCGAAGAACAAGACACACAAAGAACAAACCAAAACACCAAAAAAGAACCAAAGAAAAGAGAGAATCTAATCAAGCGCAAGCACGCAACGCAAGCTCTATCCATCATCAATCTTGCTGCAGTCAAAACCCCACAAGGCATGGCCTAGCTACACATTCCATCCTAGATCCAACATTCTCACACGCTCTGGAAATTCGTGCCCTGGGAAGGGGAGCGTTTGGAGAAACCATACCTGGAAGCGCAGCGCTCGCGCCGTGTGTGTGTGCGCCGGCAGGAGAGAAGCGAGGGAGCGGGCAGCGATGGTAGCGGCGATGCCGCGGCGGGCGATCCGAGCGGCGGGCGCGAGCGCGAAGAGGAGGAAATGGCGTGAACAAACGAATGGAATGAAATGGGGTGAGTTTGTGTGTATTTTGGTGTTGTAAAGGGTACGCTAATTAACCCCACCTTGCTTAGCGCTAATAACCCACGCCCCACCCTACAAACCCTAATTCTCTTTTTTGCCTCCTTTTATTTTTTTAGTTGACTTCCAAAGTCCGCCAGCCAGCTTCGACTGGGCCGAAATGTATGTTCATGTGAATTTGCCATTGAGCGAAAACACGTAAGAGAAAATTTGATATACGCGGTGCTCATGCAAATAAATGTTTTTTTTTTAAGAAACAGTTGGCAAACATGTGTCCCAAGTGGCAAAATAATGTCCAATGTGGCCGCGGTTGCGTCACAGCAAGAATGTTTCAAACATATCCACTTTCCAACCCAATCAATGTTTAATCGATTTGATTTTGATAAGTATTTGATCGTCTATGGAGGGCAACTTTCACCAGTGTGTGGAGCTCATCCGGTCTTGCAAGACAAAGCCACAGATCAAGTTCGCCCAATCTAAAATTTTCCAAATTGTTGGCAAATCCCACAACCACAGCAGCACTTACCTCTCCAACCTCCTCATTGAAGCTTATGGCAAATGCGGTAGCATCGACGATGCGATTTCTCTCTTTGATTCTATTGCGAACAAGGATGAGTTCTCCTGGGTGATGATGCTCTCGGCATATGCCCAAAACGGGCATATCCACGAGGCCCGCGGCATATTCGACGCCATGCCCACCAAGAACATCGTCGCGTGGAATTCCATCCTGGCCGCATATGCCCACCAGGGATCCCTCGGCGATGCTTGGAATATTTTCGACGCAATGCCCGAGAGAAACTTGATGACGTGGACGTCGGTGCTGACCATGTATGCCCGGAGAGGGCATATCCCACTCGCCGAGGGGATATTCTCCCAGATGCCCGAGAAGGACCTTGTTTCGTGGAACGCGATGATCTCGGCATATGCCCACTCTGGGCATATTCTCCAGGCCAGGAAAACGTTTGAAGAGATGCCTCTTAGAGATCTCACCTCTTGGGGGTGTCTCATCTCTGCCCTAGCGAGGGATTGCGTCGCGGATCTAGAGACTCTCTGGATCTACCAGATGCCCGAGTGGGATTCTATCTCCTGGAATGGATTTCTCTCGGCGATTGCTCACTGTGATCGCCTGGAAAACGCGAAGAGGGTGTTTGATTCCATGCCCCAGCGAGACATTGTCTCGTGGAACGCGCTCCTCGCGGCGTATGCGTCCAGGGGCGATTTGCTGGAAACGATGAGGATCTTCCAGGAATTCATGCCCGAGCACAACATTGCGTCTGAGAACACAATCATGTCAGCGCTAGGCGCCGCAGGGGACGTAGAAAACGCCGAGAGGATCTTTCGCGAATCGATGCAAAGGCACGATCGCGTCTCGTGGAATGCGATGCTAGCGGCGTATGCCAAGAGCGGGGATTTTGATCGAGCAAAAGGGTTCTTCAATCGAATGCCGGAGAAGGACGTGATTTCCTTCACGGCGATGATCGATGCTTTCGCTAGCAACAACCAAATCGAAGAAGCCACAAAACTCTTCGATTCGATGCCCGAGAGGGGACTTGGAACTTGGAACGTGATGCTCGCAAGCT